GATTTATGAGAAAAACATTAAATTTTTGTTTTTATCTTATGAAACATTCACTGTTAATCAGCAAGGTTGGTTTCGTTTACATTTTTAATATGTAGAATTGTACATTTGGCAATTTTCTATTTAGTTGCTTTACTTCGAGTATTTGATTAAACTATAAAAGAAAAATAGATTAAAAAAAAAAAACTCATTTAAGCAATATTGCTTCAAGCTAAGATTAAATTTTTTTGGAACTGTCTGAAGAATAGGTATTTTCATCTTTTGAAGATATGAAAATATATATGCTGCAGAGTATGTGAAACTAAGAAAAGCGCTCATCAAAAGCATTATAAATATTACAGCAAAACCACATAGATAAAAAACTTAGATTACACTAAATATAATCATAAATGTTCAACTAACTTCTGATTTCTATAAAACGTTCAGTTAGCTTCAAACGCTTTATGTAAAAGCAGCAGAAGAAAAATGGAGACCAAGGTAGAGTCTAGCAGATCAGAAGTAATAATCAGTGACTTGAATGTGCACTATGCTCTTGTCATGGCCACTTACACACTCTACCCTTCAGTTCTCAGTACAAACAACACCTCCTCAGAAGCACTCCCTGACTACACTAGCTATAGTAGGCCCCTCCCAATTACTCTATTACATCATTCTCTTTATTTCATTTATACCGCTCATTAGGATCTGTCTAGCTTGTTTATGGTCTATAGCTCCCCATGTTGTTAAGTACCACTTTTGCATCAGTTTGTTGCAAGATTTCAATTTGTATTCCATCAATTCCCAGTTCCTTTTTCTTTGCCAATGCCTACAATGCACCTTGGACTTCTTCCTTCAGATCATTTACTCTTCTCTGATCGTATGCTATCTCTTGAAATGGTTGAACATTGACCATTTCTTTTTGGTACAGTAACTCTGTGTATATTCCTTCCATCTTATGTGATGCTTTTTGCATCTTTCAATGTTTCGCCCATGGTAGTGGTATGCTGTGGAGTCAGTTTTGACTCATAGCGACCCTGTATAGGGTTTCTGAGGCCGTAAAGCTTTACAGGAGCAGAAAGCAACATCTTTCTCCCTTTGAATGCTGGTAGTTTTGAGCTGCTGACCTTGAGGTTAGCAGCCCGACTCATAACTACCCATATGATCCTTCAAAACCACAAGTTGAGGTTTGAATTTTTCTTCAGTTCCCTCGGCTTGACAAATGTTTAGAGTGTTCTTCTAGTTTGGTTTTCTAACGCCACGTCTTTGCACATTTCGTTGTAATATTTGATTTCGTGTTCTTGAGCTGTCCTCTGAACATTCCTATTCAGCTTTTTTATCTGCTTATTTTTTCCATTTGCTTTAGCATCTTCTACACTGGAGAGCAAATTTTAGAGTCTCTTCTGATGTATTTTGATCTTTTCCTTCTTTTTTTGTCTTCTGAATTATCTTTTGCTTTCTTCCCATATGATACTCTTTATATATATATATATATACAAGGCAGATCATCAGTTTTACAGTCAACAAATCATACACCTTGTTTCATTACAATGATTATAATCCCCTCATGTACCATCAATTAATAGTATTTCTTTCTATTCACTTTAGCTCCTTTTTTTTTTTTTAAATATGATCAAACATGCAATCAAGATGTGTTGCTATTTATTGGTGGTTGGAATGCGAAGGTTGGAAACAGAAGAAGGATTAGTAGTCCCGAGTAATGCTGCTACTATGTATGTCAATCTCTGGCTGTTGTCTGTTCTTGTTGGTTCTCAGTCCACAGAACTACCTTTAGGATGTTTTTCATTGTAGGGTTGGCTTAGCAAAACCCCTTAGCTTCTGTTTATTATGGAATGTTTTGATTACACCATTGTATTTGATTGACAGCTTTGCTGGGTAGAGGGCTCTTTGTTGGCAATTTTTTTTCTTTTAGGGTTTTATATATGTCTACCCATTGCCTTCTTGCCTGCATGGTTTCTGTTGAGAGATCCGAGTTAAATCTGATTTGCTTGTCTTTGTATGTTACACTTCTCTTTTCCCTAGCTGCTTTCAGGATTCTGTCTTTATCTTTGATTTTGGAGAGCTTGATTATTATATGTCTTGGTGATTTTCCTTTAGGGTCTATGCTTTCTGGGGTTCATTGAGCTTCATGAATGCTTACCTTTTCACTTTTCAGGATAAGGAAATTTTCTTTCAGCAACTCTTCAACCATCTCCTCTGTGGACTTGCATAATTCTTCCTGTTCTGGAATGCCAATAATTCTTAAGTTAATTCCTCTTCATGTTGTCCAATATGAATCTTAGACCTCTTCAAATTTTTAAAATCCTTTTTTCTGCTTATTCTATCTTAGTAGTATTGAGAGATTTATCTTCCAGCTCACTAGTTCTGGCTTCCATCTCTTCAATTCTATTCCTTTGCCCTTTCAGTGTATTGTCATAAATTTCTGAAATTCTATTATTAATCATTTGGCCCTCTTTCTGGAGGTTTTGAATTGTTTCCAATGCTGTATCTGTCTTATTTGGTTGTTCCTGTAGTGCTTTCCTGACTTTATTTATCCCAACTTTACTGTAAAGGGTTTGATACATTGTATAATAACTTTTCTGAATTATTTCTCAGACATTTCCAAAGATTGCCCTCCTTCCAGTATGGATTGTAGATCTACCTCCAACTCATTTGTCTTAGTCACTTTCTCTTGTTTCTGGACATGTGCTGATATAGTCATCTGTTTCCATTTTGGGGGCATAGTCAGTCGTTGGCTGTGGCCTTAATACTTAGATGGGTGGGTGTGTTTTGGTGTTTTTTATGCTTTCTGATGGTCTCCAGGTAGATGTGATCAAGATAAGGGTGTTCCTTTTCACTCTTCTTTGTGAGAAATTTCAAGATGCCACTGTTGGTTTCCACAGCACATAACAACAACAACAACTGTTGGTCATTGTGATGTAACTCAGGATTTAATTTTCAGCCTGTTTCCTTTTTAGTCTGCCTGTCCTGCTCTACAACCCCTCTTCAGGCCTCTTTACTAGTGATCAGCAGTTCAGGGCCAGTTGTTATTACCGCTGAGTTTGTTCAGACTCACAATAGCCAACAATCCTGTAAATGTTTGTTACGAAGAGATCCCCAAGGTGGCGGTAAAGCTCCACAGAGGAGCGTCAGGTCTGCAGATCGCGCAGTCCCACTGTTCTGTGTAGAACTCTGAAGCCCAACCCTGACGCGTACACTGAAGGAATTCAGAAAAATCTCAGGACCCACGCCCAGCTGTGCCTTCGAACTCAAGGGTCTAGGGGATAAGGCACGTGGCGTTCCGCTTTCGGTGAGGACACGTCCCCATCCCTTGCTTCATGGTCACTAGACGTCAGCGACTATGTTGGTGACATAGCGCCCGCTGGGCCAATAAACGAATCCTCAGATTTTACATATCAACAAGCCCCGTATCATATCCCACTCAGTCGTCCCAACTGTCTCAGTAGAGAACTTGAAGCTTCCATCTGCACTACCAGAACATACGCCAAGCATCGGCTCTGGGTTCTGATAAGGAAAGTATCCCGAAGTCCTCCGCAGACGTTGTGGGCTGGAGCCGCTCTGGAAGGGCTTGGCGTCTCTATGATGCCTTCCGAGGGGGAGGAGAGAGGGGCGTGGCTTCCGTTTGTGCTGAGTGTGTCAGCTTAGTGAGCTGAGCTACAGAGGCTGGAGGGCGCTGGAATGGACTGCGGCTTGTTGTGTCTGATGTGGGCTGCCGGCGGCGAGCACCGACCGCGCCTGAAGTCTGGAAGGTCCGAGCTCTGGGTAGGGATGCTGGGCGTAGGGCAGGGGCGCGGGTTCCTTGAGCAAACGGTGTGAATGACTCCTGACCCCGTGCTGTCTGTTGGCCCAGGGTCACCGCCTGGCTTCCTCACTCTTAACAGATTCCGTAAATACCCAGCCCTACCTAGGCTGGGACTTCCGTGTGTTAGGGGCCCAGGGAGAGAAGGAAGGCTGGTGCCCGGTAGTTTGCTGGGAGTTTGCCAGCTTTACCTGGTGTGCAGGTGAAGAGTCCTTCCGAAGCCCCCCGAGGTGTGAATACTGTAAAATGTGACTTGGTCCCCTCACTGCAAGACTCCAGGACAGGTTCCTGCCCTAGTTTCTTAATTGATACTGTTAAAATGATTGCACCTTACTAATCTTAAGAAAGAATGACTTTGGGAATTTGCGGGGACTTGAAATGTTGAAATAAGAGTTGTATGTTTTCTTCGTCATGGCCACAGGAACAAAACATTTTATATGCAAGGTATGATGATTAAGAAAAGTTTCAGTGAAAGTGAGCAAGATATGTATTTCCTTTCTTTATAAATGAACGGCATCAAATCTGACATCGTGTTCGGCATTATAATGTTGAAGAAATTATATACATTAAACATACAGGGAATGTGACAAATTTACCGCTTGAAGAGGACTGACCTGTAAAGTGTTAAAGGCAGTTTCACTTTCACTCTAGTTTTATTTTTTTTAGTGATATTTGTGAGATTAGGGTGTGAGGAAGGGAAACAGAGGGCTACATTTACACTAGAAAACAACTTTCATTTTTTTATTAGTGGTAACAGCTATCATACCACAGAGATTAGTAGACAGTACATGTTGTTAAGGAGCTCTGGAAGCATAGTGGTTACCAGTTGGGTTGCTAACCTCAGTGTCAGCTGTTGGAAACTACTAGCTGTTCTGCAGGAGAAACATGAGGCTTTCTGCTCCTGTAGGTGTGCGGTTCCAGTTCACCAGCTGCTCCTCGGAAACCCTATACAGGTTCGCTATGAGTCAGACCCAATTCAATGGCACTTAAAACAACAGCGTATTTTGCTAGCTGATACCCAGAATTTAAGTCACAGATGTTGATGCTGGTACCAAAAGTTGGAGTAGAATAGATGTCAGGACCACTTTTCCTAATGGAACAGTACTGTTTTCAGTTATCTATTGCTGCATAACAAATTACCCCAACGGTTCGAGTTTAAAAGAGCAGTTATTATTACCTTACTATTTTTATGGTCCAGACTTTGGAGGAAGCGGAGTTGGGTGATTTTGGCTCAGGGTCCCTGAGTTGTAATCTTGGGGTTAGCCTGAGCTGCAGGGACCCAGGCACTTTCCCTGGAGGCTGAAGGATCTGCTCCCAAGTTCACTTATCTGTGCTTTTTGCTCTTTTTTCATCAAGCCACGGATTTTATACTCTGTTTATAAAATACATTTAGATTGTCTCTGTTACATTTACGTGTTACTAGTCATAAATCATGAGAGTTATTTTGCAGCAAGTTTTTCTTTTTCAGCCCTGTCACACATTTTTCCTAATTTTAAACCATTCGGTGTTCCCTTTTTCTGTTCGAACAACTGCCTCTTAGTCTATGTACAGGTTCCTCATGAGCACAATTAAGTGATCCGGAATACTCACATTTCGCAATATTGTCCATACCGTGTCATGATACACACAATTGAAAGTATTTGCATAGTCAGTAAAGCACAGGTAAACATCTTTCTGGTAGTCTCTGCTTTCAGCCAAGATCCATCTGACATCAGCAATGATATCCCTCATTCCATGTTCTCTTCTGAATCCGGCTTGAACCTCTGGAAGTTTTCTGTCAATGTGTAGTTGCAGCCGTTTCTGTATTACCTCTAGTAAAACTTTACTCACATGGGCTATCAATGATATTGTCTGATTTCCGCATTTTTTGGGGCTGTTTCTCTTTGGAATAGGCACAAATACGAATTTCTTCCAATCAATTGGCCAGGTAGTTGTCTTCCAAATTTCTTGACATAGATGAGTGAGTGCCTCCAGTGCTGCCTCACTTTGTTGAAGGATTTCAATTTGTGTTCCATCAATTCCTGATGCCTTGTTCTTTGCCAATGCCTTCAGTGCACCTTGGACTTCTCCCTTCATATCATTGGCTCTTGATCTTATGCTACCTTTTGAAATGATTGAACATCGACCATTTCCTTTTGGTACAATGACTCTGTGTATTCCTTTCATCTTCTTTTGATGCTTTCTGCATATTCAGTAATTGCCCAGAGAACCCTTTAGTACTGCAATTGAGGCTTGCATTTTCTCTTCAATTCCCTCCTTGTGAGAAATGCTGAGTGTGTTCTTTCCTTTTGGTTTTCTAACTCCAGGTCTTTGCACATTCCATTGTAATAGTTGACTTTGTCTTCTTGAGTTGACCTTTGAATTTTCTGTTCAGCTCTTGTACTTCCTCATTTCTTCCATTTGCTTTAGCATCTCTATACTGGAAAACAAGTGTCAGAGTCCTTTCTGACATCCATTTTGTTCTTTTCCTTCTTAATGACCTTTTGCTTTCTTCCTATATGATGTTCTTAATGTCATCCCACAACTCTTCTGGTCTTTGATCTTTAGTGTCTAATTCATCAAATCTGTTGTTGAGATGATCTCTGATGCATCAAATCTGTTGTTGAGATGATCTCTAATGCATCAAATTTGTTGTTGAGATGATCTCTAATATTCAAGATAATATTTTGACTCCCATGGACTTGTTTTCGTTTTCTTCAGCTTCATTCTGAATTTGCATATGAACAATTGATGGTCTATTTTACAGTCTGCCCCTGGCTTTGTTTTGGCTGATGATATGAAGCTTTTCCACTGTCTCTTTTGACCGATGTCAATTTGATTTGTGTATATTCCATTTGGTGAGGTCCATGTGTATAGTCATCTTTTATGCTGTTTAAAAATGGTTTTTGCAATGAACAAATTATTGGTCTTATAGAATTCTATCATGCAAACCCCAGCATAATTTCTGTTACCAAGGGCACATTTTCCAATTACTAAAGTTTCCTCTTTGTTTCCAACCTTTGCATTCCAATTGCCAGTAATTATCAATACATATAGATTGAGGTTCATTATCTTTTAATATGGGTATTCACTTGTTCCATATCCATATGTTATTTGTTGAAAAGAATAGCCATTCTCCATTGAATTGCATTTGTGTCTTTGTCAAAAATAAATTGGTTCTGTTGTTTTTTTTAAATTCCATTGAGCTTATTTGTTTACCTTTATTCCCATAACACTCTGTCTTAGTTACTGTAGATTTCTCATAAGACTTGAAATCAGAAATGATAAGTTTCTCCAACCTTGTTCCTCTTTTTTAATGTTGTTTTGGATAGTCTAAGTCCTTTGTGTTTTCATATACATTTTAGAATATATTAAGTGAGGTGTGGCGCTGTGGGCTAATGCATCAGACTGCAAAATCGTTTGAACTACAAGGTTGGCGGTTCAAGCTCACCAGCTGCTCCTTGGAAACCCTATTCAGGGTCGCTATGGGTCGGAATCGACTCAACAGCACTTAACAACAACAAGAAGTGAGGTGCATATGGTTTTTATTGTAGAATGGAAGTTGAATCTCAAATTATTTACTCTTTAGTGCCAGAGTTTAAATGAAACAGGAAAATTTCAGGTGACACAATATCGATAACTTTAACTGGACGGACTTTTTCCTTGTCTATCCCAGGTAAGCAGCACTCAGCACAGAATTATGATTGTCTTTTTGTATCAATTAAGATTTTTAGTTGGAGGTCAAGAAAGGAAGATTTATTGGGGAAATGCTAGGGTAGTTCACAGTAGAATGGTGAGCTGTAGGACTGGGGCAGCTCTGAGAATCTTGGGAGTTAGACCTGGGGACTTGATGTTCTCAGGTTCTCTTAGCATTTTATCTTTGTGTCTTTTTTGCATATTGATTTTATTTTCCTGGGTTCTTCCTTGTGGGAAGCTTTTGGCCTCCAGGAAGTAAAGACCTTTTCCCCACCAACTTCACTTAGGTAGATCCTGTAAAGGAGTTTGGCCAGGTTTGGGTAACTCTCATCATAGATTAATCAGTGTGGTCAGCTGGTGTTGGTGTACTATTATAAGCAATTTTTCCAAAGGAAGGGAATGTTATTAGAAGTACAAGAAGTGGGTAACCAAAATGAATGTCCACATATTGTACACGTTGCTAAGAGAATTATTTGATGACCTAAAGGTAATAGTCTTCAGTCAATAGGCTTTCTGAAATTCACAATATTTGTTTGGTGGTTCTGCACCTCTGAGTCAATTCTGACTCATAGCAATCCTGTGAGGTTTCTGAGGCTGTAAATCTTTATGGGAGCAGAAAGCCTCATCTTTCACGTGTGGAATAACTGGTAGATTCAAACTGCTGACCTTGTGATTAGCAACCCAAGTCATAATCTACTATGCTACCAGGGCTCCTGCCTTAATATTTGTTGTCGTTAAGTGCTGTTGAGTCAGTTCTGACTCTTAGCGACCCTGGATAGGGTTTCTGAGGAGCAGCTGATGGGTTTGAACTGCCAACCTTGTGGTTCTCAGTCCAGTGCTGATCCTACAGCGCCACACCAGGAGACCAAATATTTAGTGCTATATAAACTGTTGTTCTTATAAAGGTAGCCTGTTATCCAGTTTTTTATAAAAACTAGTTTTTACAACTTGGTTTACTTTTTATATACTTATAAAATTATTGCTCATATTGTATTGTTTAAATATTATGTGGCAGCCCATAATATTCATTGATATTTTCCTGTGTTTTCTTTCATAGGGTGACTGGAGATGCAAACAAAAATAGGTCGTTTGTTTCCTGATGGCCTTTAGTACACACTGATACTGCTTGTGATGGCATCAGAGACTGAGAAGACGCATGCTTTACTCCAGTCATGTAGCACTGAATCGCTTATTTCCAGCCTTGGTCTAGGGATATTTTGCCTAATAGCTGACAGACTTCTTCAGTTTTCCACAGTTCAGCAAAATGATTGGCTCCGTGCCCTTTCAGATAACGCAGTACACTGTGTGATTGGCATGTGGTCATGGGCCATAGTCACCGGAGTCAAGAAGAAGACTAACATAGGAGAAATCATTTTAGCTGGATTTCTAGCCTCTGTTATTGATATTGATCACTTTTTTCTAGCAGGATCCTTATCTTTAAAGGTAAGAAGCATGTGTGTGTAATTTTTCTGGTCTTTTCCTTTAGCTTTTTTAGCACCATTGTATTGATCTTTAGGGATCATTTTAGAGCTAATTAGAATTAGAGGAAGTTCATTCATTCTGCGATTTTTTTT